TTAAGCTGATGTCATCATCTTGCCACCTATCTAGGAACCAATCTCCAGGATTTTCTGTGGCTTCATTTCAATATGGGTTCTTCTTGCCTGTGCCAATCTGTCTTTCCCATCTGTCACCTGCATGTGTATCACCTCCACCACTGGACATCTGTTCTGGCTAGTCCAGTCTTTGAAGAATAGCATACTATCTAGTATTTTTTTACATCTAGTCTTAGCCATTACACGAAGTCGGACATGGAGACGCAATCTTAACTACCAAATGATTGTTCTATTAAAAAGAGCCTGTCACCAACGTAAAAAAAAAATGGAGGTAAAATCAACTATTTTACACACTTGTGTTTTTCCTTTCCTTAAATTATTTTGTATTCACGTGCAATATGTTTTTGAAAAACGTGACTAGTCAATTTTCCCATCACGGCTCCCTCCCTCCTGACACGTCATGGCCGTTTGCTCTTCTTGGAGTGTCTAATTACTGTAACTGGACCAACTCCTTCGATCCTCACCTCCCTGCATAACCTTTTATGTGGCTGTGGGGGAAAAGTGAAAGGGAGAACTATAGAGTATCACTTGTGTGACAGCTCTGAGTCTGTTGGGGCTGCTGACATCACATCCAAGATGGTGAAATCCAGCAGCAATCTCAGGGCTTTTAAATGTCTATACCAGGGAGACTTTTACAGGTCTCCCCTGAGGTGATTAAAATATTTTACATAATAAGCATTAAATGCACTTATAATCTTATGGGACTATTTATATTGAAATTAATGGGACTATTTAAAGTAGAGAAAAAATACAAGAACAGCTTTTTCTTGCCTCCTGAATTATAGCTAGTTGTCTGGCTTTAAAGCCTGTTGACTTTATTACATTCTGAATCACTAACTCATAAGTATGCAGATCAGGAAAGTCAGACATCCTTATCTGCATATATATTCTGAGTCAGTAATTGAGAGTAATGAAAACAGAGAGTCAGCATGACAACCAGCCAAGCAGTATTTTCAAGGAAAGGACAATGATGGTAGCCTACATGTTTCCATCCTGACAGGGTTTCTTTAAAGAGCTCTGGGTCTCTCTGCAGGGCTCTGTTATACCCCCTGCTGAGTCAGAACCACAGCTATCCAGCCAGTGAGGAGCATGAACTTTGCTGATAGCAGAGCTCTAGGACATGTTGGAGCACTGTAATAATATCGCTGTTTCTCCACAGAGAGCAAGGTTTGGACAGAGTTTCCTGCTCAGGCTGTGGCTGCTTTAGAAAGAAAGTACCCTTGCTAGTCCCTTCGCTTTGTTAGAATCTGAAAGGCTATAGTACCACATTCGATTATAAGATTAGTGGACGTATCATCAGTGAAATGTTTCCCAAAGGACTCCCTTGGAAAAAGGAGTTATGCCCGCTGTGGTAATCTTCTCCACTGACGGAGGTGTCTGCCATGGTGGTGTGATGTTGCTACCGGCCCCTAATGCCACGCTTTTAAACCATGTGCCACAGACATGGTGAGCAGGAGTGCCAGAATTTATAAATGTAACACAATTTATTGGCGCCCTGATGGTACACTAGGCTGCAGTCTGCCACAAGGAGTCTGCTCCCACTGCACCTGCACAGTCTCAACTTCATGGGCCTACTGTGCATGTCTGCACCATTTTTTTTGTTCATACTTATTCTAGTTGCACTTCTCCCAGATGGACACCACTCCAACTCCACCCTACAGATACGCAGCCAGCTATCTCGGGATGCTCCCTGGGCATCAGCTATCTGCAATGCTTGGTACAGGAGATTAACCTTTCCCTTTCCAGAGCATGATGGTTATGAGTACCTTTCTGGGGGACATCTGTACACTGCACATGGTAGATCTTGGGGACATATGTGTTGGGTCAAGGGACCTCAACAGCTCATGCCCCATCAGGCACACACCCCCTTCCTATCTTTCCAAAACATTTTCTTCCACCATGTCTGGGATTGTCACCTTTTTATAGACAGTGGATCGCAGGGATCACAAGCATGCTCCTTCAACTTCCAGAAGTCAGTATCAGACTTCCCATTTGCAACCAATATACTGCTGGAAGAAGATGGGGATAAAGTATCAACTTTCGAGGAATCTGACCAGGAGGACATGCACTCTGCTGGGCTTCCCCAAACTTTAAAACAAGGCTACCATTGCTACCCTTTTTGATGCCGTCCACTCTTGCCTGGATTTAAATCAGCCTTGGTCAACCCTCCTCAAGGTTTCTATCCTGGGTTAGCTGAAAATGCCTGGACTTGCTAAGACTTTTCCAGTTTACTGTCTCTTAGAGCCTTGGTTCTCAACTAGTGGTTTGTGACCCAAAAGTGGATCGCGACCCCGTGTTCAGTGGGTCGCCGCATGCCTTCCACTTTTCTAGGTGAGAGGCTCCTCAGCCTCCCCCTAGATCAGCACTGTCAGTTCTCGTGCCAAGCAGCCATTCAAAATATGCTGCCCAGTGCCAAGTTTCATCTTGAGGTGGGCTGAGGGGTATGGCCGCGAGGGAGCTCCATTCATATGTGCATTGCTTACAGCTCCCTCACGTGTCTTTTAGAGGTGCCTGGACCGGAGTGACGTCACATTCTGGCTCTCGACACCTCTACAGGGCAAACAAGGGAGCTGTACAAGCAATGCACATGTGGAAGGAGCTCTGCTACAGCACAGCAGTCAACACTGGACCCCAGGCTGAATATCCACTCCAATTCTCGTGCATTCCATTGCAGTGCGACTTGGGTCGCGACTGAATGGCCAAGGACAATTGCGGGTCCTGAGGTTACACGGGTTGAGAACCGCTGCTTTAAGTGTTGGCGATCCTCATTGCTGTTAACGAGGAGTCAAACAATGACGGTGTGAGGGGTCAGACAGTGACGGTGTGAGGGGTCAGACAGTGACGGTGTGAGGGGTCAGACAATGACAGTGTGAGGCAGCAAGCAACAATTAGGCAAGGCATCAGGCAGCTTATGGGGCCTCGGCCGTGAGGACCCAACAGGCAGCCGACTGTGTAATGGGAGACCTGCCTCTGGCTGTGCTGTGTTTTCCCAGTGCTGGAGTGCAGTCTCCCCTGCCCCGGTCTGTTGTTATTGCAGCCTCCACCGAACTTCCTCCGACCATGCTTTCTGCTGTGTGAGAAGACAAGAGATGCCAGGAGGTGACAGTGTTAGTTGAGGTGACATTCCAGTTAACTTCTATTCTATCACTCAGGGAACTACATGTCTCAGCATGCCCACATTGTCCCTGTACTCCTCTGGGGATATGTGAGGGGTTTCCAGGGACAATGAGGGCATGCTGGGACATGTAGTTCCCTTAGTGAAAAGGGGGGATGTACAGAGGTAGTGCTGGGACTTGTATTTCCCTCTGTGACATTTGGGGGCTGTGAGCCTCCATCTTGGAGCATATAAAGCAAAGGGTAATTTGGTGCAGGATCACCAGGAGGAAGCCCAATATCACTAAGGGAACTACAAGTCCCAGCACTGTCCCTGTACACCCCCAAATATCACTGCTGATCCTCCACATCTGCCCAAACTGATCCTCCACATCTCCCCATACTGATCCTCCACATCTCCCCATACTCATCCTCCACAACTCCCCATACTCATCCTCCACATCTCCCCATATTCATCCTCCACATCTCCCCATACTCATCCTCCACATCTCCCCATACTCATCCTTCACATCTGCCCATGCTGAGAGACTCTCCGCTTGAGACATCAGATGTGACAGCTGCTGATACAAGCGATGGAGCGTCTCTAGAGACGCCCGATCGCTTGAATGTAAAGCTCCCGGCCGGCCATGTAATTACAACGGCCGGCCGGTAAGCTGCTCGTC